TCTTTCTTTCTTTCTTTCTTTCTTTCTTTCTTTCTTTCTTTCTTTCTTTCTTTCTTTCTTTCTTTCTTTCTTTCTTTCTTTCTTTCTTTCTCTGTTTCTCTCTTCTTTCTCTCTCTCTCTCTCTCTTTCTCTCTTTCTCTCTCTCTCTCTCTCTTTCTCTCTCTCTTACTTTCTCTTTTTCTTTCCTTCTTTTTCTTGTTTTCAGGCTGGTTTTTGAGCTACAAAGCCCTAGGAACGCCATCTGTCCAATTAATGGTTGTTACAAAGTTTGCATTACCTAATGTAATTAAAATGGAACAATCTTTTAGACTGCCTTTCCTAAGACATAAGCCAAAGTAGAAACCCCTTGTGATGGTGGGAAGATGCCATTCCACCAGGAACACATGCTGCTCAGCAGCAGGAGGCTCCACACAGCAGTCAACCATCATTATAGCCGTGCATTACAGCCATGCTTCTGGAATGGATGGGGAAAATCTCCTGCCAGGAAAAAGGTGCATCTGGGAAAGAGTAAGCTACATATTATTTCACTTTAGGACATGTAAAAGCCAACCCGCCACTCTTTGAAGACTAGTACCTGTATTTATGTAAGTGGCACAATGCAGGGAGACCTGTAGGCAATTAGCCTGCATTCATTGCATAATCAAAGCTGTTGAGGGCTTGTGAACTAGTAAAACATTTGTGAGGAAAGCAAGTATCTAAACATTTTAGGGCTATGTAATTTAATTTTGACTGGATCTGGTAACCTAAAGCAACAATTGGACACTGCTGCTGCTGCAGCAGCAGTTATGGTTATAAAGGCCAAAAACAGAGAAGTCCCCTCTTTCATGCTGATTATCCAAGTTAAGTAATCAAACCAGAAGTTTTAATTGGCATATCAGTTGGGAAAGTCAAGTTGAGTCACTTCTGACATTTCAGGTCACAAGCACTCATAGGAACATCTTTCATATGTTTGGTCTCAGAGAATTCTCAATGTGTAGTGTCTGGTGTGGGTGGAATAAAGCAGAGGATAATGCATTCTGATATCATGAGACCATCAGAATCTACATTAGCTGAGACACAGAACCTTTCCATAATTATCTGTATTACAGAAGGGTATTTTGATTAAAGAAATATAATTTGCAGGCGAATATACAGGATGAGGTGAACTTGAAACTGTGGTATTTTCACACATTGCTTTCCCAGATATAAGCAACTCTCTTGGTGCAAGATGTTATTCTGCCTACTGTGATTACTCACTCACTGCACCCACTGGTGAGTAAACATGTACCCTTTATTTTTGGTAATAGAAGAAATAGTAAGCTTTCTAATGTATGTGAATGTATGCAGCCATGTTGTTTATTGAAAAATAACAAAAATATTATCTAGAAGGGAAATAGATGAGTATTTAATTTTTCTTCCACTTGACAAAGTGTGAGGCTGTTGGGGTAAATTAAGTTCCACCCATGGTGTAAAACTGGGGCAGGGAAGGAGAGGTTCAGGCCAAACACGCTGGCATAGTTTAACATAGTGTCAATCTAGAAGGGAGGCTGTTGATCCTCTGATCATTGCTAGAATATAGCGTAATGGTTCCTTTGACACCTTTGTCTTTTATTTCATCAGTATGTAGTACATGACATTTTGTACTCGTGAAAGGTGCTGAACTGACAGGCCTTGAGACTGAAGTCTTCTCTTTGTACACATATCAGACGATACATAGACAAACACAGCAGCCCCTCTCTGCCTCTTTCTCTGTCTTTGCCACAGTTCAACCGCTGTCTCGCTGCAGCTCTCTTGTATGACCACCATTTGAAGTGAAAAGATCCTCCCATCTCTGCAGCTACTGCTTGCTGCTAATGTTACCACCAAGGTTGCTCACCCTGAGTGAGTTCTGTGGGGCTTTTTTTTTTTTTTTGGTGATACAGAAATGTATTTCCATGAATTTAGGTAATTCCAGCTCATTTCACGTGGGTCACAGACTGTCCATTAGTGTGTAATATCTTTAGGTTACCAGTGACCCGCACTAGACTTGATCTGGTAACCTATAGCACAGGTAAAATACTCCATACCCTATTTTTGGTCCTGCTCATATATGAATTGTTCAGTATAAGGTCAATTATGCATACGAGAGAATTTTTTTTCTCCCTGAAGTGCACAGTAGATCTATGTTTTTCTCCTTGCAATCTGTTTGGAGGAGACAAAGGGGGTTATTAATGGGCAAAGTAGAAATTAAAGTTAAGAAATTTGTGTCTTTATTCACACAGCACAGAATTCCCATTGGGAATACTGGATCCACCATACAGATCAGAGAGAGCAATTTTGCCTGCAGTATGGACTTCCAATGGTTTTACTATTCTTGCACTTAGAGGGAAGAAGAGTGTGGGGGAAGGAGTTATTGTCTCCTCTCAGTTTTTAATAATGTGACCTTATGGTGAAACAAAATATGAAACCATCCACATTCATAACCAACAGCTTGCAAAACTTAACTTCAAAGTGTATAGTTAGTTTCTGAAGTTGGCATTTTCCCAATATATTTTCCAAAGATATATTTTATGTTTGTCTATCAGCTCCTTAAAAATAAAATAGTGCAAGTTTGACAAAAAAAAGTTACTGTCCTCAAATTAAAACCCACACATAATAAACATATAACTTTCATGTAATTTGCATTTAGCAGCAGAATATCTTGGGATGGGATGGTGCTGGTGCAGGCACAAGGTTCAAAATTCCTGGAGCGCAGATTTCTAATGAAAATTTTGGGCAAGGTCTCTATGTTGCAAGTTACTTAAGTTTTTTTGAAAGAATATTTCAAGGAGATACATTTCATATAACTTGTTAATAGTCATATTAATTATTGAATAAAACCAGTAATATAAAAGAAAAAAGTATATATATTTGTGAGAAAGACTGAAAAAGAACAGGGTTCTTAAAATATTTTTTACCTCTAAAATGACATAGGATGAGTTTAATATTTTTAGTAGTAGCATCATATTCCTATTCCACTGACTCATACAAGGAATCATATGAGCATATACTTAAATTATTTTTGTCAGGACTGCCGCTGCATTAAGGATGTGTTTAGTGATTAAGGGTAAAAAACTGCCCCCTATCATTTTTCACACTTGCATTTACTCATACTTTCAGACTTGTCTCGGCTAGATCAAGTAAATTTTCCCTGAAAGATTGAGAACATATACAGCCTCACTCAGTCACAGTCCAGAAGGAATTCAGTTATTTCAAGAAGTCTCATTACACCAGATCCTTCTATTGCCTCCTGTTATTTATCTTTCAGTACTATCACCTTTTACTACCCTTTCTTCTTCTTTAATTCAAATTAATAAAGTCCTGCAGTGAATGATTCTTCAGTTCCTTTGAAATTTCTTTTGAAAGAGTGAGAAGTCCTCAAAAATCACAATACTCATAAAATGGTTGAGGGAGAAAAAAATCCTTTATTCTTTCCTCTAGACTTCAGTGACACTATGAAGTTTCACATAATTTGCAGACTGCATCTCATAAAATACTGGCAAAATTTATTCAATTCAAATTAAATAGATGTAGCACAGAGTAATCTTTCTCTATTAAATATGTCACTTTTTGCAATTGTTTCTTAATATCCCGCACAGCTTCCATCTAAGATTAGCACTTTCTTTGCTGCCACAGTTTCACTAACCTACTGAATTATTCACTGAAGCATAACCTTCAGATATCAGGTTAGAAAGACCTTGATTATGGCAGGAAGTGAACTGTATAAACCATTTTTCTTTAAAAGAAAATTTCTCAGTATAGAAAAGTCTGAAATGAGATAAGTATTAAATGTGTGTAAAAATTAAGTTCATAACTGATAGGAATTTAGTCAGCTGTGACATTCCTGTATTTTGTTTATAATAATGTACAATAACATTCTAGATACCACTTAATAGTGTAAAGCCACGTGCATTTTCATGGTGCTTATTTAAAGTACAAACCAGGGTATCCATGTTGGTCTCAGCTGTAAAGTAGAGATGTGGAATCTCTCACACAGATTTAGCATATTGGACAAAAGATATTTACCTCCAGTTCCTGATTTTGTCCCACTTCCAGAAAATTACTTTTAAGGATCTCTCAGCTCCAGAAACCAGAAAATGGTCACAGCTTCGCTACAACAAACCAATGTTATTGACCAATAATTTGTGCCAATCTACTGTTGAAAGGTCATTTGAACACCTACCAAGGAGACAACAGCTTTGGGAAAGGTTCCTTTGCAAGGGTTGAAATACAGACTCACCACTCACTTGTCTGCTTCTCATGACCTGTCCAATGGCACTCAGGAGCTGAAACGTAATTGTGAAGTTTAACAGGCTTTTAGAGGTTAGCAAAATGATAGCAAAATGTCAGGGCAAACAACATTCTACAAATTATTCTGCTAGTCAAGCGTACAAATTTTCATAATGACTTGACCTAGAATAGGAACAAAATGTGTTTTCCTAACGTGGGTGATAACTGCATAATTATGCAACTGATTCTGCTAATATTATTAGCCTTATGTTACTTTCCCAGATGTCAGAGAAATGGCACAGAAGGAGAAAACAGGTGGCAAGTTTGTTGGATGTTGCATATTCGTGCAGTTTGTAACAAAATTTTCTATGCAGATTTGTTGACTGCAGTTTGAAGGACTGTAAGACAAACACGTTGCACAAGGATTTAACGTTTTGGGTGTATCAGGAGCTCCAAAAAATGTTGTGCTGCACTGTGAAACATTCAGTTTCTGAGATGAGTTTAAACCTCTTGTTTCCTGATCTCTGCCTCTCTCTCCTAGTGTTGTTTTTGGTTTGCAGGGCTTTTCGAACATTCGAGGGTGTTACTTTTGGTCAGCTAAATTTGTTTTGAATGTTTATGTGAATTTGTAAGTCAGGTACCCTTTTATAAGAAATACAAGTAATGCAAAGGATACTATTGATTTTATAAACTTCTAAGAAAATATATATCTGTTTCTTTTCAAGAGCCCTTACACAATAAGAAGCATTTTAAAGCAGTGAGGGGAAGTCATAAAAATTGGGTTGAGGCTGTGGATATAGAGATTATTTTATTTTTTATGTTTTAATATATATTATGCATACATATGTCATAAGAACACATACAGTACTGTATCCTTGTATACTTTTATTTATTAATTCAAATTTGTATTATTCTGTGTTTATTAAAGAGTTACTCCTTTGACAAAAAGATCTGCAGCTGTGACATTTAAATTTCAGACCAAACAACCATGCAAAAGAATTAAGTTTTCTATTTGGGAAAGAGGCTAAAATGTGTATTTAGGGAAATTGATAATTTTAGATTTAGAAATATATGTTGGAAGTCACTGTAGGCACGACTTACAGTATATTGTTCATTTCAGTCAACTGCATCTGCTGAAGCTGCCTGGGAATTGTATTGAGAGGGCTTGCAAATCTTAAATTCCTGCATTTTTTCCTTTTAGTAAAGCTTGCTAGTAATCTTGTCAGGCGTAAAATAATTGGAAGCAAAATACAAAATCAGCACTAAAAATGGAAGTAAAAGACAGAAAAGATTGTGGTAATGGTTCCTCCAATAAAATAGACAAAATGAACATTTCATTATGTGCCTGGACATTGCATGATAATCTGAAACCCTAATTAAAGGGAATGCTATTAAATTGATTTTTTGCTTTCTTTTTTAAAATTTTCCCAATTAATTGATCTGCCATCAAGCCAGCAAAAACGTTGTGTAATCTGAGGCAAGCTACCTTTGTTTAAATTTTTACCGTCTCTCTTTTCACTGGAATGTTTTGAAGAAGAACCTGGCTGTCAAAATGTGGAAAAGTTGCCTCTAGTGGAGTGATAGACCCCAGAATATGGCAAAAACCCTGCTTTCTCTGAAATGGTTTTATTAATTTCTGATTCTGCATATGCATTTTTGTAGAATTCTTTAGAGTCGGAAACCATAGAAATAAAATCTCTGGTGAAAAATGGAAAAATATTGCATCAAAACTTGCTGTTCCTATTAGGACTTTGTGTAATTGATGGACAAGTGTGGACTTGGAAGTGTACACTTTCTTCAGATTTGTAGGCATTTGGAAGGTTAAAAGCAGACATATGTTACAGTGGTTGCCAACGGCAACCCCTGTGATTTGGGTTGGGTTCAAACAGCCAATCAACCCCACTTGTCCCCGCTTGGTAACTCCCAAAGCCAGCCATGCAGGTTGTTCTGGGGGATGGCGTTTCACATGTGTGTCTGGTTGTCTCTTCTGTATGTATTTATCTAAACATTTATATTTATTCCATCACCACATTACACAAGTGTGAATGAATCTTGGCTGACAACTTAGCAGTAAGCAATGGAGAGGGATATTGTCTTCCTCATTTAACGAAGAGTGAACTAAGATTTTAAGACTTACAGAAAGTTTCAAAGAAAATAGAATTCACTGCTGGATATTGCTGCTGAAGTGTCTGAGGCTTTATCTGCTTTTCCCTTTTTTCTTGTGTCCTTGCAGAAACATGCCTGAGTCTTCTGTGCCAGCAACTCCTTTGGATGGCTACCAGGAATATGTTGGTTCTTAGAAACAGCTTTGGGTTTCCTAGCTTTTATTATAACAGGTTTGTTGTTTTTTTGTATGATGGCATTCAGATTTTTAGGCATATGTGTGTCCCTGTATGTGCATATTTGTTATTCTTGGAATCGTTAAATATTCACTGTCATCACATATTCATAACAGACATTTTTTGTGATAAATTGCATATACCATTTGGTGATAGCCGAGCTACTTCAGGATCTAGTTGTAGTTACACTGTGGAAGTGGAAGCTGTTACAAAAAAAAAAAATCTGTTTCTTTTCTCCTTAAACAGCTCATGGATACACCCTCCAGTCACAATGGTATTGGTAGAGGACTTGTGAAGCCATGCGCCAAGGCAGGCCAACTGCACCTAGGGAGATCTAAATGATTATCCAGATAATATGAAATGGAAATTCTTTTCAGACATTGCTAAGCAGCTTGGATAAAATAAAAAGAAACTTCTGAACCATACTTTGTGTCCACACTTAGTCCAGTCTTCAACCTAATATCCATAGTGACCCTTTCCCTCCTGCCTACGCTGCCTCTCCAAAGCTTAACTCTGTTGCTGTGTTGTGCATTAGAGGGGAAGAAGCAAATATGAGGCAAATGTATACAAGTCTGTTGCTGGTAACTTGCAAATCTTCGATCACGTTCTGCAGGAGACAAGGCACAGTCATTGCTAGACTCTCTGAAATGGATGCTGTTCTGATTATCCAGCACAACTTCAATCATTTGCTTTTGATGGCTCATGCTTTCTGAGGCACGTCCCTGAAAGTGCATGGTTAAGCCTTTTGGACAATCACATGCAAAAGTGATTTTTAGAAGTAATGAGGAATATAGGCAAATAGCTATAAATACAATTTACTGCTATGTGTCAAGACCTCCTCTCCTTAGTCCCCAGAGATCTATTCAGCATAAGAATGGTAAAACAGCTAAACAGGGGTAGAGTCTAGCTGCCCTCTTCAGAGTCCTGCATCACCTTCTGGCTAAGGGGTTTCTGGTAAGCATCTCTAAATTGTGAAATTGTTCAGGACAATTGTTCAGTTAGTGATAACTGTATGCCTAGTGAGGGATTTTCACGAATACATGAGGATGTTTCTAACATAAAATGAAGCATTATTTTTCTGAATGCAGCTTGAGGGGCTCAATAAGGACCACAACAGGTTTCATAGTCCTGTGTACACCCTTTAAGAGAGGCCGTCTCTTCTCCTGAACAGGGGAAGGTGTGAAGTGAACCCTCTGCTTTCTGGTGTGAGCTGCCATCGGCATCCATCTCCTGCTTCCTCCCACTCTGCACTATCATGACTAATATACCTGCACTACAGTAAAATTCTCCTCTTAGCAAGCCAAGAAGACTAAACTTCAGATCAGGAAGCCACTGTAAATATATTTTATTGAGTTGTGCTGGAAAAAAACCAAAACTGGATAAACTATCTCCCAGACACATGAAATTGAGATGATCATCAGAGAATAGTGAAAGAAAAAAGTCACAAGGAACATTGTGAAGAGCTTAAAAAAAGAAAAGAAAACATCAGCAAAATAAAGGTGGGAAAGTATTTAAAGATTGCAAGAAAAGGGAGCTGATGAAGGTAGATTCAATATTTACAAATGTGAGTGAAAAATTAATTTGGAAGGAAATTACACCAAAGGGGCAATGGAAAGGAAACTAGTAGGAAAGGAAGAAGGAGGGGGTGAGCAGGAGAAATGGCTGAGAGAAGAACAAAAGAAAGAACAAAGAGAACAAAACCTATCTTACTCTGCAGTTATTGTATTTTGGTGATAAATATTTGCAGGTGGTTACAGTAGTTATTTCCTCACTTCTCCTCCCCTTTTGCCTTTCAGAACCAGCTCACAAATCAGTAAAATATCCAAAACAGATGAAACTGAAAATAAAGTGAGTTCTACGTCTAAAGCAAACCAGTCACTCCACAACATCCACATCACTGTAATGATGTTTTCCTCAGTGCTGGGAGGCACATGGAACTGACCCGTCCTCATATTACACTAAACTTGAAGCAGCCTCTCTCTTTTACAAACAAACAAAGAATACAAGTTTTTCTTTGAGTTCATTCACAGATCCTGGGCTTGTTGCTGTTTGTGTGTTAATGTTTTCAGCTGCGCTTGGCATTTGTTAGCGTTTGTGAATTTACTATTTTTTGCATACTATTAGTAACACACAAATGTGAAATGTTTCTGGGAACTTGCCCCATTTCAGTCATTCACAATTCTGTGCCCATAGGGTGGTCCAGCTTTCCTCTTTCTCTGTCTGCTGGGGACGTTGGGGCTGTGAATATCTTTCTTTTTTTTTTTTTTTTTAGCTGTACAGGTTTGGAAGGAAATCAGAAAACGTTTTCAAGTGCATCTCTTGCATATATCTATCATTTCTCTGATAATCTGTGCTCGTGGTTGTGCTGCATTTTGTGTATGGCGGCGGCAGTTTCACCTGCCCACTTTTATGTGTCATTAGTTGTCACCGTGCCACCGTGACTGTGTAGACAAGTCTTCACCGAGAGCAGCTTCGGCATCGTGTCTGGGCCTTGTAAATCCTGGCAGCAGTGCTACGAACGCTGCAAAGGCTTTGTGACAAAATAGAAAAATGACAATTAATGATGGCTGAATTCGGGAGACAGAGCAGGAACACGCTTTGGTTGCGCAGAAAGATGCATTTAGGGGCTTTCAAGCACGAGACAACACTTTACATTTCAAGCTAAGGTTTTAAAGCCTGATAGAGAAACCCCTTCGTCCTGCAGAGCTCAAAGCCTGCATTAGTATCTACCATTTGCAGAGCCTCCCTACTTTGTCAGGGGCTAATTTTCTTCTGGTGGGAACATCACTGGATGATTGAGGCATTATCACTTTGAAAAGAACCTTAATCGTGTGATCAGTCTATAAACTAGATTTTGCTCAGTGTGAGCTGGGGTGCTGGGCCTGGCCCCCTTGGCTTCGGGGGAACCACTCACTTCAGTAAGGTTTTACGTGGTCTGGACTTTGGATTTAAGAATAAATGCTTTATTTCCTGCCAAATATACAATAAGAGTTAATCTTAGTAAATTATTCTGAGCTTTGCAAATGCTAAAAATACGTGTTCATTTAGTGTGCAGGAGTTTTGTTTACAATGGGCCTTAAACAGAGGGAATGTCAGTGTAAGAAGAGGTGGACTTAATGGGTTAAAAACTGTGTAAATGTTACTCTAGTTAAATTACAGCTTGTTGTTCAGATGAATACTCTCCACTTCTCATATAGCTTTAAATTATGGACAAATGCTTGCAATTGTGAACTACCTACATTGTGGCTGCCTGTTCCCAGGCTTCATCAACCCTAGCTGTCCAATGGGATTACTGTAAGCTTTCACGGCAGTCTGCCAGCCACTGATCAGAAATTCATATCCCTGGATGTTAGATTGCTCTCTTTATTCCATCCTTGTGATGGCTGTGATTGCTGTCATGGTGTTAGGTTAGAAATTAGCATTTTGTGGCCCAAATTTTGCCATCCAGAACATAATCAGAAAAAAGAGGGTGGGGGGGTGGGGGGAGGATGGAAATCAAAGAATAGTAATTTCATCTGTCAAAGAAGGGAAATGCAGTGTTACCATGATACAGATGTCTACGAAACTTAGGTCAGGAAATGTTGTGGTATTTATGGTCCTATTTGGTGAATGCTTAGGCAGGTGGTGTTTTTTTGTTACTGCAGACCACTGTTCATAGATTAATGCTTTACCTCTGATAAAACAACAAAAAAAGAATAAATAAATAAAAATCCATCAGGGAAACTATAGGTGGGCTTCAGAAACTCTTAAATTAAAAAAACAAGGGTCTCTGGCAGATACTTTCAAGGACATGCTGAATTAATCACAAGAGGCTGGTTAGCAGGAGGTCAGAGAAAGACTTCTTAGCATCATTTTGGGTCATATGTCTAGAGGCGATGGCAGTACGTATGTGCTGTATTGTAATATCCCCTTCCTGGTTTCCTTGTCTCAGTCAGAAAAGGCTGAACACATATTGCATAGGGCTCTTGAAAGGAAAGAGACACTGGCAAAAATCAGTAGTTGGGAGTTTTTTTTCATGTTCTTAAAAACTGAGTCGTGTCTGACTGGCTGATTTAAATGTGCCATTTCTTTTTATCAGATTCGTACTATATTCAGCATATTGTATCCCTTGCATTTTGTTTTCTAAATGTGTTATATCTAGTGATACAAAGGTGGTGATTAAACAGACCAGTGGTAGTCACTGATAGATTTAATGAACATTTATTATTGCTCTAAATAAAGATTTCTCTATTAATCTGTTTCAAAACAATTCATCAGGGCTTATTACAGAAAATTATGGAAAACAACTGTTTAAAATTTAGTGTAGAGATATGGTTAGGTCCTTAAAGGTAGCTTGTTATCCTTTTTAGGCAACTCACAGACATGCTAATTTTTTCTGTCATTAGCACTGAACGAGCTGGAAGGATTCTGACATGCGAGGTGCACAGATTCTGTTAGGAGCCTTGATTTTTATCCACCCAAGCTTATCCGTCATCTTTAATCATGCAAAAAGCAGGATTACTTAATCATTTCATTTTATTGAAAAGAAAAAGAAAGATTTACATTAAAATGATGACATGCAAGAAAAAAATAAATTGAAAATGATTATGAAGAAAATGTAACATAGAGACTGAAGCTCCATTGGTTCTGTGATGCTCATTTAAAGCAATGATCTAGTAAAGCCAAAGTATAAAAGTAATGATAATGTTAGCAGTGGAAGTATAAGTATCTCTGCATTTTTATGTGCATTCTGACATGAGGTGTGTAGATTAGAACAGATATATAAGGAAGATACATTTTTTTCACCTAAGCTGTATTTATTCCTTGCATTAAGTTGCATCTTTGTCTGAATTAAATGCATTTTAACACACAAATGTTAAGAGGCAAAACATACTTGCATTTTCACAAGCGCTTCAGTATGCATGTGCCTGCCTGTTAATCTTTCTATATAGGATATACAAAATATTATACTGATTTTGAGACTATCTATAAAAAAATTGATTTAGTGCAAGTGTGAATATTATTTTGGAGATAAAATTAACAAATTATTAATAAATGCCTTCTGTAGCTTATGGATCTTAAACATTGCATTTTATTCCGCACCTGTTCTAGGTTTCTTGCACTTAATTTAATGTATTCCTTTTTTGTTTGTTCTCTTTACACATTTTGAATACTCTTTTAAGATAATTAATTTTTTTCCTGATACAAAATTTATGTCTAGTCATATAGGAATTTAGATAGTAAAAGAGGTGGAGAAAAATATACTTGCAAACTTTTGATGCCACAAAACATTTGTTTAGGAAACATATTACAGTTTCCAAAAGAAAGTTTGTAAAAGGAGAAAACAAGGACATTTTTTTATATGTGAATATATACAAGTGGTGTATTTAATAAAAAAAAAAATTATTAAAAGCACCACAATTTTAGGTTTTGGTCTGATATTTACGTAAAATTGTGCATTAAACAAGTAATTACATTACAAATCAATGTTTAGCAATTAGGTCATTAATAATTCATTCTACTGTACTAAGATGAGTGAATTTAAGGCTGAATACTCTAGTATCAAATTCTTTTAGGTACATAAACAATTAATGAAATCTGAAAAAAATCAAAAATTTTCATTTAATATATAACATTTCTATGTCTTGAATATTCATTTTATTTAGAGAAGTAAAAAAGAGAAAACAAAGTTCAGGTTTTTTTTCACCAGTGTGAGAATCATATATTGTTATTACAGTTGAAAGTGTAGAAATAAGAAAAAGAACAGGAAAAATAAAAAAAGGTGTGTAGAAATCTATTTCTCTTCAGTTATTCCCTTTCTGACATTAGTTCTGGACATTGCTTGGCTGTAAGAGCTGACTGTTTGGAGAGGCAACCTTCTAGCAGGAGAGAAATGGTTAAAAATTCCATGGGGAAAAACCATAAGACTGAGGAAAAGATTAGGAATCCCTAACTGCAAGAACAAGGCTTTTTTTAATGTTGTTTCTTAGTTCTGAAAGGATGTAGTTATGATTACAGGAAAAAAAAATTCTATAAGGAATTTATCCTTCATGTAGATTCCTTCTGTTTGTCTAAATACTCTCTATGCTACCATGGACATTTTAAATATTTGAGATTTAAAATACCTGCATATAGGTGAAAAAAAACCCAACCAAACCACACAAACAAGCAGAGCCCCCTGTCTCAAAAGAAACAAACAAGCTAACTAACAAACAAACTAAGCAAAACTAAAAAAAAACTGGTTTTATTTTTTAAAATATATTCTATTTTTGCTCTTCCTGAGTGCATCCATCTGTCTTAAAATTTCACAAATCTTTGAAATTGAACTGGACTCTTAGTGATATATTTTAATGTAGGACAAATGTCAGCATTCTGCACAATAACTCTAACATTTCTGGGCACAAGAACAATGGATTTGTACATTTTCTTCTAATAACAAAAGATAATATAAGGGATTTTATACAATATACAGATACTTCCCTGTAGTGAAGAATTAAAGTCAACTTATTTTATACATGTAAACTGAGTAATACACTGAGGATAAAAAAGAGCCTTTGAACAATAAATTTTCTTCCAAACTAAGTAATCTTTCTATATTTCTGCAAATTAACCTAGACAGTACTTATACTCTATAGTTTATATAAGCGGTCTTAAGTTATCTTCCTGATTGATTCATACGACTTTCCTTAGTACGACCAAATATATTTTTCTCACTTTTTCTTTTAAAGAAGTGGAAATAATTATCTTTCTCTCTCTTTCTTTTTTTTTTTTTTTTCCAAGCTGACAAAGGTTATTCTTATGGAATGATCCTTCTTTAGATGTAGAATTAGTGTTTTTTTGATTGTTGTCCCGAAAACAATATTATTTACTGAAAAGAATTAGGTCTGATCTTATACTGACTTATTTGCATGCTTCTCAAGCTGTGTCCTTAAAAGACCTGCAGATGTATGTTTACAATTTGAGCATTTGCTTATCCACTTGCAAAATGTTAACGGTATTTTGCTATTTTGGATTCTATTAGAAAACTCATATTTAACAAATAAATTGGATTGTGCAATATTGGCCATGCTGTAACCTGAAGAATCTTCTTTTTATTTATTTTTGTGGATGGATTTTGTATTTGAAATTGATTTTCTTAGTATTTTTTGAAACTTAATTTTATTGATACTGGAAGTCTTTTAAATGTTCATTGATTCCAGATAAATTATAGTCATAGTATCGAAGGCAGATGCTTATTATTTGTTACATGAAAGAACATGAAAGTCTCATTCAGTTGTTAGAAATAATGAAAGCATAGTAGTCAAAACGAGCAAAGATGAGTGATAAAAAAACTGGACCGGATTTTAGTCACTATGACCTTTAAGCAATAGGTGGCAGTGTTACCTAAATACTCTTGGCTTTGTACTGGAAAAGAATGGGAGGACTTAGGAAGGCACAGGACATTTGTTTTACTTGTACATAATTGCAGATTTGTGCAAACAAATTTCACATCATTAAGGACGTTTTCTAAAAGTTCTCCTTAAAATTAAATTCGGTATCCACTATAACCTAAAAGACCCACATTTTTTTGTTTTCTGATTTATTAGCTATAACACGATATTGAAATCTAATATATTCTTGTCTGAAAAACAAGAACATTTTTGCTACTACATGCTGTATTTGAAAATGTGATTCATCTTAACTTCATTACATATTTATAGTAATAAACACCAAACATACTTTTAGAAAATATATTACAGAATATACTTTTCTGGTTTATAACAAATTTATAAATTTAGGACCTAGTTAATAAAACTTATAACACATAGTGCTTCTTTAGAGATTACAGTATAAACTTTATGAATTCTTTTCGTATGTATAGCACAGTATCACAGAATAGACCTGCACCAAAATACAAATACTGTTTCCCTCTTTATGTACAAGTAGGCAGTGATTTCCATACCTGAAAAGCATGCAATAACAAAAAAAAAAAAAAAAAAAAAAAAAAAAAAAAAAAAAAAAAAAAAAAAAGAAAGAAAGAAAGAAAGAAAGAATGGCATTGCTCATCAAAATTGATGCCTTAATATATAATTTCTAAACCGAGAATGCCAATACACATACATTCACCTAAATATAAAATGTTTCACAAAATGTAATATTGTACATTGCAATCAAAATCAATTCATTTATGCCATTTTGGTCTTCTGAGTGTTACTTATGTATATCTCATCATATAATAATTAAAATACATACTGACCAATGCAGGAGCCATATTCCATACCATGTGCTCTACCTCTAGGATACAGCTTTCATACAGTAGCAGTTCCAAGGGATGTGTTCATCAGTGTGTGATAGATACACTACGCAGTACTTTTTTGCAGTTTGAAGCAGGGTGAGGGGGAGAGGACTTGTACAGCATGTAGTCTTAGTTTGATAATTACACCTTATCTATTTACTATGGTATATTTATCAATTTTTAGTTTTAAAATAGGATGTTGCTTGTAAGAAGGAGAATAAATGATAATCATGCTAGAGAAAGGAGATAGTGATGGATAGAAGCAATGATGAAATGTGTCTGATAGGGTAGTTTTCTTCTGTACCACCATTTCGTTGCTGCTCTGGGATTACAGCAAAATGGTGGCTACTTATATTTTATGGAAAATGTAAATTTTATGGTAACCTTTCTATAGACTTCAAATTGCTTCTCCCCTCCATCCCTATTATACTGTTTTGTTAGAATGAGTGCATGGTTTGCCTTCTGAATCTTATAGCACTACAGAAAAGGAAAAGCTCAGTTGCAAAATTCTGCATCAGCAATAAAGACTTCACTTACATGTGATTAAACTAAAGCATAATCAAAGGGGAAGATCATGTTTTCTTACATCTACAGATAAGACACTAAATGGCCAGAGGTAAATAAGATTTGGAGTGTATTCTTGTTTTGCACAGCGCAGAGCTGCTGTAGCTGAGGCAGTTTGTGACTCCTTCTTGGTTTTTGGGGTGAAATTTAGTCTGTACTATCAAAAAATGCTACTAAGTAGCAGATCTTAAGAAGGAAAAATAATAAAGTCCTAAGGCTTTGCTTTTTAGCCTCTTTGTTTTTCTGTTCCAAATAGTTGACACGGCATGGAGTGTCTAAACTGTCTTGTAAAAGATCCCCTTATCTTCTGTCTTGGGCAGGGTAAGGTGCAGAAACAGTACCTTACTGAAACAGCTTTGGGGTTTTGTCACTTTCCAGAAGGATGTTACTTGTGAGAATATGAGTTTTCCAAAGTATCTATAGAAATGAAAATAATTAGAAAGCATGGCTCTAAATAAGATTTTCTTGTTAGCTACACGTGTTAAAATACAAATAATGCAGAAAAACAAGAAGCAAAGGGAAGTGAGCAGAACCAAATTAAGAAAACTAAATGAAAGGAAGAGTTACGAGGACTATTACTATACTGGCTTTTCCTTAAGTTCTAAAGGAAAGATAACTTATAGAATACTTTCTCTCTGAAATCACTCTGTTATAGTTAAAGCATTTAAAATATGGGGCATTTGTAAGATACAATTTTATCTCTCTCCAGATAGATATTTAAAATTAAATTTATATAATATTATGTAAAATTTCCTTGCTGAATTTTATGTTCTTGTTGTAAGCTAACTCAGCTCTGAAGCTGTGACTTTAAATGTAGAAAAATAATCAAATATTTTAAAAAATCAGCTTCCGGAGACTTGTTGCACTGTTTACCTTGCACCTCGCCCTCCACACGTTTCACACACATGAAATGCTCGGGGTGAATGGGGACTCGCAGCGTGAGGCAGACACAACCTTGCTCTGGATCATTGCTGAGGAGCGCTTACATTTAAACCTCAATATGTTTGGTTTTTTTTTTTTTTTTTAAATTATGTTGCCCTGAAATGCTCAAACATATTTGAATAGAGATTTTAAATGTAAAAATGGCAAGGATATCAATATTTTTACGACACAGTCATAAGCTTTTTGTTGCAACACGACTATTTGTTGCTGCAGTTTCTTATAAATAACTTGAAAATTGGCAACATTGCTAGGGAGGATCAGGTTAGGAAATCATTCTATTTTATACCTAACAAAAAAAGCACTGATCTCAAACTACACTACTTTACTTAAAGTTAGATTGATTTTTTTCCTTTGTAATTTGTTTATTTTAGCTGTGCATTTACAGGCTAAGATTAGAGTACTTTGAAGTTCTATACCAAATGAAATAACGTCCTGGAAAAACCAAAAAATACATTTTTTAAATTTTACATATTTAAACAGAATTGATGTGCATCACATTTTGATTTTAATAACAAAAACATAAACCTAACCCCACTTACATAAATGTCTTAATCTTTCAGTACTATTAATCACACTCTAAAATATAATTTTACATCCTAACTATTCTACTTAAAACTTCTAAATAATAACATTCATATTTGTGTAATGTACTATAAAGATTTCTTTTTTTGTAGAGGATTTCTGCAGTCATTTGCTTTTAAAGTTCTCTGCCTTATATAGAAATTCAACTTTTGGTTCTTAAAAATAAAGGACAAATATATGACAAGCACAAGTTTTAGTGCTGAAACATGTATAATCCTACAAAATTTCAGTTGTGCAGATTAACATTGGTTTGATCCAAGCCTGTCAGAGTTGTGATGTGATTTCTGTTTTCACCGTAAATAAAACTGAAATCATCTGTGTCAGAAGATGTGATTAAAAAGTAATTAGATGCAAGGGTTTATGGCATGTTACAATAAATTTGTGAGTAAGTGTAGGACTTAAAATATAAAGAAAAAATATTTTTAAATCTCAATGAAATATAAACTGTTCATACATTGTAACAATATTTTAAAAAATTGTTCCAATGTTTTCACATGTAATGCTGTTAAAACCAAATCTCTTGATTATTTTATCTTTGTGTCAAAAAATATGATAGTCATAAATATACAGAAATGATTCAGAGGATTTACATTTTCTAATTTCAATCACACATTCAATTAACCCCTTTTCCAAATTTTACTGCAAACATTGAATAACTCAAAAGTTTTATACTATCCAAAAAAGCCTAACACCAAGGGAACATTCTCATCCTTTTTATTGAACAGGTATTGCTGGCTAGTCAGTATGGGATAGCCCATTTCATGCCTTCAAACCTGCTATTAATCTTAACTGCTAGTTTATTTTTAATTATGTTTAAAAAATTGTAAAATAATATTAAACCTCACAAACACATTTATGTTGCCTAAATTACCTGTCTTTAATAACCACAATGCTTCACATAATCTCTTCCAAAACAAGGAGTTCAAAAGAATGTTAATTTTTATTCTGAATTTTCAGAAATTCTCATATTTTGGTATAATTTTGAGGTATCTATGTAAGATAGATACCTATGTAAGATAAATACCTATGTAAGAGCATTTTGGCTCTTCTGCTTTGTTTTACTGTTGCAAATTATCTATTTTAAAAAATGCAATTTAAGTTCTTGTTATTTTTAACTTGCTATTTTTCTTGTTAATATTTTTTTGTCAATTAAGGACCAAATTTTTACTAGATAGCTCAATTAACCCTGACCAACAAAATTAATTTCAATTAAAAGGAAAAAAAACCCACAAAAGACAAACCAAACATTTTTCCTTTCTTTTTATTTTTAACTTCTGATGCTGGCAAAGATAAAAACTGTGCAATTACATCTCAGCAGCCAGAATGCTGAATTTCATTAGATTTGTCAATCAGAAACCTCAATTTACTTGCTCAGTTTCATAAAATTTAGAAGCAGGGAACAGAATGGTAACGTAGTCTTCTCTCTGTATGGCTGCAAAATTATTTCCAGCCTGTTTATTTATTTGGTAGTGTTTTGGCCAGTTATTTTAAAATTGGCTAGCTGTGGTCTACTCTTTGCTCTCCAGGGAAATTTTTCTATTGGTTAACTCACAGTCAGGTTTTTCTTTTTCCCCTACTGATATATTCCCTTTATTAATTTCCTCCCATTACTCCTAGTTATACCTCCTTTTACTATGCTAAATAATTCCTTTTATGCTAAATAATTCCTTTTTTCCATTTTTGAGTTATCACTCTGTAACATTGCTGTTCTCCTTTTTTTATGGAAACTGTCTCAAATTGGCAAGGTTTAAAATATGCCGAGTTCAATCTGCTATAAAGGACTTTATTGACAATTACTATAACTTAAACACAGTCCTGCTTTAATAAGCTCAGCTAAAACTGAAGTTTGAATAATTTTTGTTAACTGAAGCAAGAAATCTATTAAAAGGAGCCCTCTATTTTGAACTGTTTTGTAGTGATGTAATGGGGCCAAATGATTAAGCATAGCTTAGATAGCCAAAATCCTCTGGGTCAAATTACCCTGTCTGCTGAGAAGCACAACAGGGTTGAAAGAAACACAGATGCAGGACAAATGTTTCTGGTAAGAGGAAGAAAACTATTACAAGCCTGTCCCCTTTTTCCAGGGTTGAAGCTAATTTTGCTCTGCTCTCCTTCCCTCTCTGCATTTTCCTGAAGGCTGGAGACTGCCCAGCGCTGAAAGCTCTGGATACCCTCTCCCCAAGCACTGCCTTCTCCTCCTGTCCGAGGGAGCTGGGCTGGGTGTGCAGACCTGGCACCACTCTGATCCTAGCTGGAGGAGAGCTGGACTGACTCATTCACTGCCTGTTCCTGCAAAGCAGAACCTCCTCGTGCCCAGGGCCCTGCAAATGACTGAGCCATTGAGGAGGAAACATGCTTCACAGTGAGTAGCATCTGCAGACAACTTTGCTGACAGGCTTTGATCAAACTCCATGCTTGGAACGGCCCATCTAGGGGACAGGGACAGCAGTTCTAGGCCAGCAGCCACTGTAAAGGGAGATGACAAGGTGGGGTGAATGTAAAAAACTCCTGCCTTTCCAAACAAGGTGACAGGTTTCCCACTAAACCTCGTGGCATGTTGGGAAAACTTGGACAGTAATAGATAAACATAGATAAAGCACGTCTAGTTTTCTGAACTCTCTTCTATCTCTGCTTCTTTTCCCTGGAGAGACCCCTAAATTTAGTTAGGGACTTTTACACCAGCGGGCTGACAAGGATGAAAAGCCCTGCAGTAATGCTGTGCTGCTGCATGCTACCACCATGGCTACAGCAGGAAGGCTTCTGCTCCCTGGCACTGCGCACACGACATCAGTAACTCCCCATTTGCATCAGGGCTGCTTCTGCAAAACAGCAAGTGCATTCTACCCTGGCTGCTGTTAATAGAAGCTGAGGGCTCATTCCCTTTGACATGCCAGACATGCTTTAAGACTACCTGTGTATGCTTAAATGGCATTTAGGTGTTTTTCCCTTCAGCTAGTTATCTTTGTAAAACTTTGGTTTCTGCATCTGAAAGGACTGGGCCCTCAAATGTGTGTTGTTTATTTATTTTATTCTATTTAATTCTCTAAATTGCTGTGAATTTTTACAAAGCCTTCAGTGTCATAGCAATGGCTGTATTTAATACATTATGTTTCCTGATCATTGTATTAGTTCTGATAAAAAGTAAGTTTTCTCAAATTCATCTTATTTTGCAGTTTAATATCTGCTTTTGGAATATTTTATCTTGTCGTGCAATATGATCTCTTGCTGAGAACACCTGAAAATTGACAGAATTTAATGTAGGCAAAAATCCTACAAGTACTGAAAAATTGTTACACAAAAAAAAATTTCATTTCCTTTATATCTTGATATAATTTGTTTTTAAACTATTCTGCAGTCCCTTGGAGCATGCAAAAGTGCTCCATGTAAACAAGTCCCTCTGCTCTTGTTCTTTAGACTGTAGTGAGGCTGCTGAAAGATTTGAGTGATGGTGCAATGCTTTAAATTAAATATAGATTTGGGGTTCTGAGCCTGCTGAGTTAAGTGCTGTAAACACTGGAGGACCAATCAAAACAAACATAAGTGACACAAGTGATCTTCATTGAATCATTTGGCATTTCTCTTGACTTGTTTAGAGACAAATGCTTTTTTTTTTCCTTTGGTGCAATATTGTTTCTAGATCTAGTCTGAATTTTCATTTACACAGAGTACATCACAAGATAAATAGCATGCTTTTACCTTGACCCTCTAGTTAAAAATGTAAAGCATGAAGCAAGGGAGCTGTGGCATTTGGAGGCTCTGTATTCCATCCATGATCAACGGTGCTTTCTGTTTTACAGTATACTTGCTCCATCATGTGTTGTTTATGAGTAAAATTTCCAACTTGAAATTGCTGCGGCTGAGAAGAGAAAAGCATAATATGCACGTGTGTGTGTGCATGTGTGTGTGTATTCATTAACATTTGGGGTAGCAGGTGTTGAGAGCTCTTTTTCCTTGAAATGAATACATTTTGCATCAGTGGAAAGCACTGAGACATCTTATGCTGCATTCTTTTGTGAGCAGCAGCTTAAGATTCTTTTATTGCTTCCCTAGAAGAGGACCAAGCCAAGGCCCTTCTCCAGTGCTAATAGCTCCAGAATGTTGCTCAGCTAAGTGCTGAAGAGAGCTTATATGCTGAAAATATTTCAGTTACCAGAGAAAAACAGAAACAAAAAAATCCTCAAATTTAAAAAATTTTAATTGCTCCTGAAGCAGGGATAAGAGGGTCAAAATGCCATCTTACAACTATATTTTTTGAGTACAGATACTCATTGGAAAGGTTGGACTTGAGCTGGAAGACTAAATGATTGTGTAAAGATATGTTTTTTTCATTTCTATCATTAAAGAGACAGGAGGCATAGCAGAGAAGCCCATGGAAGGCTATTTATTTATTGTTTTTTCCTTCTTGCTCTTTGAAAGAGCTTGACCTTTCCAGTGGTGTTGATCTGGTCCTTTCAGAGGCCTTTTGCATATGCAGTGATCATGCTCACTATTAAAAATGTGACTAACTGTGAGAATTTCCTTTTTTAGCTGCTGCAGAAAAATATGCTCCTTTGTCAGAAAGGGAGACTATGGAGTAAAATAAAGATTAGGCCATTTCAACACCAATCACTTATTTATGTAGTATAGAATATCAACACAGAGAAATAGGGAAATAAGGAACAACCCATGCAGAGGTGACTTTAGGAGAGAATAGACTGAGATGTTAAAAAATAAACAAACCAAGTCACTGATGAGAGTGATGCTTAATACAAAATGCACCTTTCTCCTTTGAAGGGCAACATCACACACCTGGAATGTCTCAAACGGGCTGAGAATAGAAAGACTAGTTAGTGGCCAAGAACACCCTGATGTTCTGTGCTACAAATTGAAAGTGAAGGTTACTTTATTGTAGACTTTATCTTAAAGCAGTAAAACGGGTAGCTGCAGCTACAACTGAAAGTATTGATTTTGTAATTTCAGCAAATTAAGAACAAGACAGGAAACCTATTAAACCTTTCCACTGATTGCCAGGGCACTTTTTGGTGATGCTGGTGCTGACATTAAAATTACATGCGCCTGTCTCTTTAAAGCCAAATATATACATTTTACAGAAGATAGTGCCAGCTAACATGCTGAAAAGGGATCTTTATAAATCTGTGTAATTTCACATTTCAGATGTGAAACTTTTGAAGCCTGATGACATGAATGTCAAGCAGCACATCTAAAATTTTCATAAATTATGGTTCATGTTAGATGTGCTTTCATTACATTTTAATAAATTAAAATTTTCACAAAGCCAGATTTTTTATAATAATAGCAAAGATTGTAACGCTAGTAATAGCATTATCTGTCAGAACATTATGAGTAATGATTATGTAAAAATCTATGTAACAAAGGCTAACAGAAGAAATGATCAAATTATATTCTTCTGTATCTTGTATAAAACAAGTTATTTTATTATGGTAGCAAAAAACCAGCTTCTCTTAAAGCAATATTTAAATTACTTTTTAAAATCAGTGTAATTAAATTCATGTGAATTACAATAGTTAAGATCACTTGTTTCATAAAGGATTGTTTTAAACTTTTGCTTTAATATTACTAAGTATAAATTAAAGAGCTATGTCTTTTAAAAAGATAGTATTTCTAATAGTCCTTAGGAAGAATGGGGCAGAGGAAGGGAAATTATACCTGAATCTGCTCTGAACAACTTATAAAGATGTAAGTTTCCAGTTTATCCAATTCATAAATATTTTGTTTCATCTGAGCTAGTATTTGGCATCATTCCAGTGTGTAAACAAGCATCGGTTTTGCACACACAAATCTAATTTACAGGGAAGCCATCATCTGCATTTACCGTAGTAGCCAGCAGTTTGTGATGTGCCTGTAACAGAAATGCACAGTGATAGAGGAGGAGGTGGGAATGTAAACTTCAAAAAAGATTGGATTTGTAACAACAAAGGCACTCTTAAAAAGTGTGGGGGAACACTGCTGAGAGACTGTGAGCCAAAAGTCTCCATCAGAATGGACTTCAGGAACTTGTAGCAGATGTTTACACCTAAATGTGAATGAGAATTCAGAAGCTTATGTTGCTAGGGAAGCCTCAAAACAGTGTATGAAAATGAGTATCAGGTGTGAAAATATGTATCTAAAGATAAAGGTGAGAATAGATGAAGTGAAAATTTAGTAGTCAGAGAGATCTGAAATAAGGAGGAGGGCAAACCTAAGAGGAGTGCAGAGCTTCAAACAGATGAACAAAACCTTTTTTCTCTGTTGAAGGAGAAATGCACATGGGGAATGCTGGAGTGCTCTAACCACCCCTCCAAGCCCAGCAGAAGCTGGGATAACAATGATTACCCTTTCCTGCATTGTCTCTTCAGCTTCCCAGGAATGCACATGCACCCCTTATTGTACAGACCAATATATTTTCTCTTTGTTTTCACAGCAGATATGCCAAGCTATTGATGCCTGCCAAAGTGGATACTGCACATTACATATTGCAAGTATATTTAGATAACACCTGTAACTCCACAAAAGCATTGGTGCTTTATTCTACTGCAGAGGCAGAAAATTACAGAGACATCCACCTCCCACACTCTTCATAATCTGGGACTTCACTGAAGCTGGAGCAAAGACTGTGAAGAGGAGAAAGATGCAGTAACAGTAACTACAGGTGCACACTAGGTTATTCACTGTGGCCTGTATACTTACAGGTGGCCACCAGAATAACCACTCCCAGAGGGTTATGATTTGTAGGGATAGAGGAAAAAGGCAGTTTTTTAAGGAGGAGTCTAAAGGGGTGAAAATCAGTAACTGCTTGAGAGATGCTATTTTATTTGGTACAGGGTGGCTTCAATAATCCAAGAAGAAGCTTTAACCTACCTTGCTTGAATTCCTTCTGGCCATTTGACAATGCTGAGATTTTATTAAATCTTCTGTGAGTTTGAGCCTTCTGATTTTTTCTTTGAACAACCTTTCTTCCTACTAAAGGTTGTTTTCTCACATACCTGTAGCAGATACTCACTACCTGCCACTCTCCTGTAGAGCTATAATTTTTCCAGAGTAGTGGTGTTTCAACTTAAATTAAATAGAGGATTTCCAGGTTTTATTTTAGATTTGTCAGAACTCTTAACTGCATTTAGTTTTTTAATTGAATGTTCCAGTTTTGAACTGGAACATATGCATGTATATGTTTTACTTATTCATATGTGTACTTATGGATTTAAATGCAAATATGAACCAAAATCTCCCACTTATTGGTTTCAGGAAGGTGAAAGAACAAAGAATGACTGTGTGGTGGAAGGTGCAACCTAAAGTGTTCAAGTCTGTCCTTTACTTCATTTCAAGTGAAGATTAGAACATCAGTCTTCAACATCCAGAGAGAAGAGCTAAAATTTAGACTGAAATAATGCCTAATATTTTTTTTTTCTGCCATACAAGAGATGGATGGAGACATAAACAAGAAGAACTAGTAGCCAAGTAAAGTGGAACAGTTGCTGGAATGTTGCACAAAAACCATAATGTAGAGTGGTATGTAGGTCTGCCACAGTCCTGGGAAGTGCCCTCATTAAAATCTTTTTTATGTTATGCTGCAGAACTTGCTTTTCATATGAAACACTTGGAGAATCTGGCTTATGACCCAAGACAAAATGAGAAAAAAATATGAAATATCCCAAAATGTTGTAATGTAGGAGAATCACGTCCTGCACACCTTTACACTAGGAGAATTGAAGGATTTGTGACACTTGTGAATCTATGCTCCAGAATGGACATCTGCACACTGGAAAACACTAATCCTTTTTAAAATTTGACTTTTGCCTTGAAGCCTGTCCAGAAGCACAGAAACAGAGTTGTCCAAAGGTCACTCAAAATTGTATCAACAAGTGACAAAGTCTCTGGCAGTAAAATGTTGATTTTATGGAAGGTGATTGCAGACATCAATGCCTCAGTTTCTTAGTGTGTTGTACATAAAAAGAGCAAAATTCATTTGCATAGTCAAGTTTATGTACCTGGAAATGTGTATGAGTTGGAAATATATCTACTGATGTGATACCAACATGAAGCTTTCAAGGGCTGATTTTCAGTACACATACAGTTAAACTTATATTTGAGGTTTAAGGAAGTCAATAAAGTTTAAGTTAATAAGACGTTGGTAATAGGACTATGCTAAGTGAAGTTGCAGGAAACATTGGAATGCTTTTAATAAATTGTATCATTTTAGATTTAGACCTCAATGAAATGTCTCACTGAATTTCACAGAAATTGTGTAAAAATAGCAGAAGCAAAATAAGTTCTTAGAAATGTAAAATAAAGAGAGAAATAAAGAATTTAAACCACCTGAAACAGGTTGCCGAACTGACTAAATCACCATTCTTGGGTGATGTCACCAAAGTAGATGAACACAGATCTAAATAATTAACTTCATATCAATAATAGATTTTGCACTAGAAATTGTGATTTTTTTTTTTTTTTGCACAAATTGAAATAAAATATAATTACAAATTGTGATAAGGAAAATAGGAAAAGAGAAAAGACAATTCTCATATATTATTTTCTTCTGAATACAGTGTATACCATTCACATATAATAAATATAGTAGGTACTGCCTGTTGGAGTCTGCACAGTATTTTTTATTATATAAGTTCTGATTTTCCTTGCTTTATTTTTTCACCTAGGTAAGCAAACTGATAGGAAACAAGTGTTCCTTTAGGAAGAATTGACTTTTTCATTGAGAAATCATTGAGTGCTAAATACACTTTGATGACCTGAAAAATGTTTCTAAGGACAACAGAAGGGAGAAATCTTTTGAAGTTTAAAGACAATATCTTTTTTTTTTTTCACTGCATTCAAACAAGGAGCGGGGAGAGAGATGACTGAGAAGACAGAAATATGTTTTCAGTTTATGGAATTCAGTGGTGTGTGAAATTCATAAAGGAATTTTGTTTTTATTTTCTTTGTTCCCTCCAAGTTTTCCTTATTGTTTAATCAATGTTTCTACTGGGGCAAATACATCAAAGGAATGATTTTGTCTCATGGTTGGGACTCATAAAGACGTGGTTAAAGACAGAAATGGTAAATTGTCTTGAATCAAACTTAGAAACAGTCAAGAAAATAGCAAATATTTTCTGGAAATAATTAAATGAAACTCAATACCTATGTTTGTCAGTTCCTTACTACTGTTTAATTTTTATCTTTTCTATAAGAATAAGGGAATTGGTATTGAATTTTGGTTTTGGTTAAACCTCAGAATATTTGGAAATTTTTCTGAACTTACTGAAATTATTCCCTTTCTAGCTTCTTAGGTATTTACCATTATAGCTTGTTCATCCCTGAAATGCTTTAGATTTTTGTCTTTCAGTTTTCTCTTTTTTAACTGGGAGGCTACTTTCTTAATCTACTTTCCTTTATTATTGGTACAGGAAAAATGGCAGAAGTGGTGTTTTCCAATACTGTTGCCTCTTGCTTTTCTATACAGCACCATTTGTATCTCTTTACTCCCCAGCTATGCTTTCATAAGCCATAAGCAGGGTTTTGTTCCCTGTTCTTGGGGCTCTTTCCCTTCCCACACCCTTCTTTTCTGCCTCTCATCTTGTCTCTCTTGCTTCCCACATTGGGAAATATTGATTCTATTGATCACAAGGCAACTGGGTGTGTATGCTCAGCAGGCATAAACAGTTTTCCATCTTCTGTTAATTAAGAGGATTTCCCTGATAAACTACCACTCTTCCAATCTGACTCTCTGCTAGCATCCCCTTTGGATCCTCCACTGCTCCTCCATTCCAGTTCTGTTTTTTCCAGTAAGTGCCTCTCAAAAGAGGATTGTCTTTCCCCAGAGCGCCTACTCTTTCCATACTGAGTGTGAAAGCTGAATGCAGCTTCACCTGTCTCTGCTACGTTCTCGTGTTTCCCACTGAACTGAGAATCATCACATAATTCCCATAAACTGGGAGGAAAGGTATTAGAACATTCTGTGTGCTGGCTCTGACACTCTCCTTACCTTTCAAATGTCAGCTTTTGCGGTGGTGAACACCTAAATGTGTCACTATGGGGTAAACTGTATAGATGGAAATGTTATATTGTGATAAGGAGAATGGAATTAGTTTTAGAAATCCCTCCTACTTTGGGATGGATATTTTCTAAAAGCTCAAAACTTAAAATGTGTTATGTGGAGAAAAAAATGTTTGGTAACATTCCACTGGCATGTGATGGAGAAATTATATTACTTCTATCTCTTCAGAGAATTCATGTCTATAACGCATGTTTGCAGTTTTTTCCCTGTTTTGTTTAATTTAATAAGGTTTTCTTGTTTACCTAGGCTGCTTTGCTTTAGGAATCACCAAAATGCGTTAGATAATCCAATGGAAAAGTGTGTCTTCAACATATTATTTTTAAAGCTCAACATCACACCAGGAAGAGATTAAGACATTTTTGTAGTGTGCTTCCTTTGATTTATTTGACAGGATGACCAGAAACTGGTTTAGAGTTGCAGCCTCATCATGTCTGGAGAAAAGCTCATACTTACATCTATGAATATGGGGTATGACACATTAACTGCTTTTTCACATGCTAAATGGATGATGATGAGACTAAGACAAGGCAATATTTTAAGGGTATGAAAAAAATCTTTTATATAAAGAATAGTTTCTAAGGGGAAGAATTAGAAGCCTGCAGCCTGGGACACCTAAAACTGGAATGTTCATTGCCCAAAAAACCTTAGTTTTGCTATCTACACTGTACAACTTAACTGTGGACTAGGTGATAAAGTAAGACTCATATGCTTCTTTCAAACTTCATCAGTTTCTTTCGAAATCAGGAACAGAATCTTACCTATCTCCTCAGGAAGATTGTAGAATGAGAAAAGGTGACCAATATGTAGTCAGGTTAACCAGTCCCATCTGCCTGTTGAGGTGGGTACTTTGGGAAAGTACCTCTGCAAGACTTGCTTCTTATTGGAAATGTGGATGCTTCACCACTTAGCCAGGTGAGCTTCAGCTCAAACATGAACAACAAAGTCAACTATACATACAGCCTAAGGTGGTTTGTTATATTTTGTGACAACAAAAATAAGCTTTTAAATTTTTTTTTTCATTTTAAGCATTAAAGCAAATGAGTATTCACATACATGCACATAAGACATAAGAAAGTCAAGGGATGGGTTTAAATATTGCATTTTAAAAATTATAGGTTGAAAATTCTTAATACGTGTCTTACATTTCACACCACTAAGATATGAGGATTTTTAATTTGAAAACATGACTACAAATGTAGCAGCAAGAAAATGACTATTTAAGTATGAAAACAGAGTTTCATATTTCCAGGAAGCAGGAGATGTAGATTACAATCATATTTTCAACAGTGAATCCATCTATTTCTTTATGAAGTTATTTGGGCAGATTGAGGAGATTTGAGAGATCTGTCAGTGAAGGGGGCAATTTCTAAAAAACGAGCGTGTTTTTCTACAAAAATGAGGCAATTTAATGGCTTTTCTAATGAATGCTGCAACTACATGTTAGAGTAGACTGGTGAGGAAGATTTTGCCATCTCCATTGTTGTTTCCAAAGAAAGGAATATTGGAAAAATATCCATCAGGAATGTTTCAGGTGAGGCCTTGATGTACAGAGTGGGATTATCAATTTATGAGGTTTTTTTTCAGGCTCCTTTTCACTTCTGAAGAGCAGGCAACTTTTTAAAGGTGTGGTTCTGAGAGAATGACAAACCTCTATGGTCTCTTTAGTCAGCACTCCAACATAGCTCCTCTCCACAGATCTCTTGAGCCCAGTCCGGCACTTAGACCAAACAGTTTCTTACATGCCCAGTGGACAAGGGTAATCAAGCCATCCTGGTGGTCCCCAGTAGTGAATTTCTTCCTCACAAACAGGGAGCAAGATACAATGGAGGCGGTATTTTTCCTAGCCTGGGTCTTCACTGCAGACATGAAACAGTGAAAATGATTCCCACAGTCACTCAAAGACATGGGGGCAAACTGTGAGTGAGTCTACTCACAAAAACTTTTGACAGGTATCCTCAAATTTTGTTTCAGTTGCTTTGAATTTAGAGGAATGTTACTTTCAACCAAACTTGAATTTGAGTGAACCTTCTGATCAGGCCTAGCAGGAGAGCTTCCCTACCCCCTTGGGAATAGTTTTACAAAGATGGTGTCTTGGGAAAAGAGGGAAAGAGTAGGCAGCTGAAGAACCATCAGACTGTCAAGCTGGAATACAGAGCTGCCCATCACATGCATCTCTGCTGACCTGGAGGCACCTCCTATTGAAACTGCCAAAAAACATGATAATCCAGGAGTGACTGTCCTCAACCTAAAATATACCTGCCGGGATGGAAAGTGTTATTCACCCATTTCATATTTGTTATAGACCAGATGTTGAATTTCTACTGGTTCAGAATTGCAACTGAACCACTTAAGGAGCACAAGGATGAGTGGTTTCCCTTTGGCTTAGCAAACCATCCTCTCCTGAAGGGATGTGAAAGGCAAGGTAATTGGGAGAGAAAATAGGGTAGTACTTTGTACCTGAGCACATTGTCTCCTGTGGAATATAGGTCACATTTGCAATATCTTTCCTGAAAACAAAGATGCAAATTTAATGCATTAGATTCGCATTTTTGTTCTTTGCACAAACAAAGGTGATACTGCTGGAATTCTGATGAAGTCTAATGAGGGAAAGTGTGATGTATTCATTCCTTCCAATCTGGCTTCTTGAACAGATTAGCTACAAAATTTGCCCTTCTTGATGGTAACAAAACATAAACATGGTAAAAAGGAAATCATAATACCACTTGATGTAAACCCAGTGCTTAATATTTTAATCTTTAAAGAATAAAAGCTAATACATCAATAGCAAATTAAGAAGGTGACATCTTGGTCTATTTACATTAATGGTTAATAATCAGCAGATTAACACTGATGTATGCCAAGAACAGGTTTATGCATGGACAGTAGGAGGTGATAATATGCTATTCAACCAAAATGCCATTGAGTCTACCTCAGGACTATGTCACCAAGTCAAATGATTTTTAAAGGAACAAGCAGACAGAAATATTAGTTTAGATAAATTTTTGTGCAGAAATGTAATAAAAAAATAAAAAGAGTAAAAGAATTATGGGAACATTTTAAGACAGCATTTATAATTATTTCTGTGTGTATACATGGCATGTTTTTCAAAGTTCATGATTACATACATACCTTGCATATAATCCACCTATAGTTGCATAAACATTCAGATAGGTTAGAGATAACCATTATCACTTTTTAGGATAACTTAATTAAACTTGCTTATTAAAATCCTTTAATTCGTTAGTGATAAAATCTTGATTAGTACATTTTCCTGCTAGGTGACCTTCTAATTTAATAGAAAACGAATTTTTAAATGGAGAAAAATGCCTGTGGCAGAGATTTTGTGCAAGTGAATAGAGTTTGTAATACACATAGGGATATAATCGAGCCTAATTAGTGAGGGTGCAAATGAATTTTTATTTCATACACCAGAAGTGTCATTGATGAACCATGGTTCAGAGTTTGAAATGCATTCAGGCTGGCAGTATGGGACTCAAGTCTGTGGGAAAATCACAAGCTAATTCATTGATTGCCCCTTGGAAATTACTGCTGTTAATTGTTAGGTAATTAACATGGAGCTACAATTATACTGGCCTTAGGGGGTGATTAATGTTTCAACATGTCACATTAGCAGCGGCTGGATTTTAAAAGCTTTTCTTTTCACATGGTTTAGAGACAGATGGTATATTGTCTATGGAAAATTGTTTTCTTTTACTGAAGTTTATACCAAGACCAAGTGAATGTTCTTCTTGTGCTGCAGTGTATTTTTATGTAGTTGAATTGCATGTACCTTGCCTGATGCACCTTAAGAAATAATATTTGTTTAAAAAAAATCCCCATTATACCTGCTATGAATGCATAACATATGCATATTGAAAGGAAATTATGTCTACTTTTATTTTTTAGGTAGAAAATAAAAAATAGGTAATGTAAGATTAGACTATTTCATGGCAGCTCTTACATTATTTAGTGCTGATACAGAGAAAAGAATTGAACAATATGATATTTATTACAATCAATATAATTTAAGCAGTAACCAAATAAAACATGTTGAACAAATGCATTTAGTAACAGTTGTAAACAGCATATTAACATCTCCACACTTCAATATTGTGCTTTGTTCTATGTTAAGATTTTTTCTCTTCTTCCAGTTCCAGTAGTCAGAATAAGACTAGCACAAACTTTTTAGAAGCCTACTGTGTTCTGCTTTATCTGTAACTATGCCAAATTAAATCCTTAAAATCTTCCATCAAAGACAGTAATGCCTGTGTTAGGAAGACTGTTTATATATCCTGAAAATATTACTTATATTTTCTGTTTTTTTATTCTATATGTT